AGAGGCGATTAGTTTTTTTGCGCAAATAGTTTTCTATATTTAAACAATTATCAATAAGATTAAGAGTCATGTTAGCAGAAACAAAATCAATAAAAATTAAAAATTAAAAGTTAGAATTTATAAATGTATATGAACATATGGTTGATTGTGTATTATTAATCTTGCAACACTTCTTTATACATCACATTTGATGTATAGTTCACTGCCGTTGAATTTTTTCGTTAGACTTTATTTTTCTTGGATGAGCTAACTCATGCGGTAAAGTTCTTGGCTCTCTGGTTTGGTTTGTGTTTCTGGTTAATGTCAAGCACGACTAACACAAAATGATAAGTCAAATATATTAACTCTTGTATCTAATTTGATTTGTATAATTTTTTTTTGTGAGTAGGGACTTGAAAAAAGAGGATTAAAATGGCTAGCCGTTTACCCGCGCTAAGCGACGGGTGCAAATAATTTCTTTCAAAAATTAGTTATAAAGATGATTAGTTTTTTTATGCATATAGTGTTATCGGTCGGTTTACCGCAACGAATAGTTGTAACCCTTGTAATACATAAAGAAATAAACTTTTAGTTTCCACATGTTGGGCTTATTTATATAGTTATTTGTATCAAATAATTTTTATTTAAATAATTTAAAATGTTATAGTTTTTTTTTTCTTGTATTTTTTTTTCTTTTATAACTTGTTGGGTGAGTGTCATGCTTTTTTTTTCTTAACTTGTTGGGTGAGTGTCACGTATGCAGACTACGAATCGTGGTGGTCTTAATAGCAACACATTTTCAATTTGTTGATGATTACAATAACCACATGCCCTAAACATTGCTATACTTAATATATTTAATCCATAAGAAATTGAAAGTAGGTACTTGGCATTGCTTAATTTAAATCGAAAACTTACAACCATTACAGACTTAATGGTTGTTTGAGCCACCCATTGTTATTTTTTTTTCATTTATATTATGTCATGTAATTATGATCGTAGTTTTAATTTCAACATTGAACATTTAGTAATAAAAAATAAAACAAAAAAAAGCAACCAAGCCATTATAAAGTCATAAATAAACAAAGAAACCCACTTCTTGAAATTAAGAGGTACATTATACAATTACAATAAAGATTTAAAATTACATTTGCGTAATACACGTCCCAAGAAATAGTACCAATTATCCAAAAAACATAACCTTAGCAAGAAAAAAAAATTACATGTCGCAACAAAATCTCATATGATGTTATGGAGAATACAAAAGATTTATTACCTTTAACAACATTGTATCCAAGAACCAATTTTTCTGTTAAAACAGTTTCTTGATGACAACACCATACTCAAGCAAATGTATAGAAGTGACTTCACATACAGAAAACCAATAGATCCTATCAGTATAACAGTCGCAACAATCAAATTTTAAATAATGACATTGCAAATGGATTTAATGTTAATAAATTGAATAAGTCACAGAAAAACAACTTACTTTTCCATCTGTCCCACTTAAGTATGTTCACACTGTTGCACCCCACAAACACCTCAAATACGCATTATCTTTAAGTACTTCCTTTATGAGTGTATCGTTTATATTTTATCAAGCCTGAGGAATTATCTTTACATAAAAATGTGATCAGGGTTTGTTTCAAAGATAACCCTCATAGCAACCCAATAAGGTGTATAAGCTAACATATTCCATATTTTATAAAGAAACAAAAATATCAATTAACTTCTAATTGCTAGCCATGAGAAGCAAAAAATGAGGTAAACGTACACAACATGAATATGAAACAAAAGCATAACTTCATACCTTTTTTGTCTTGGCGACACCAGTATGTATCCAAACCCAAAAAAACAGGTTTAATTATAACCAGAAGGCCAACTTTTGTCCATCATCACCTAACATGACAAAAAACACATAAATACATGTGAACATTATAAGCGTTAGACTCATCAAATTCTTACACACATACAATCTTAATATACTCAAATAACTGATGGGTTTAGAATAAAAGCTTGAAATAATATACAATAAATCATTGACATCCAGATACATACTTCGAGTAAGTAGAGAGATAGGGGTGATTGTAAAAATAGTTAAAGTATTTACCACTGATTGTTGTTGTGTCATGTGTATCAAGTCCCAAAACCTATCATATAATCACATTAAATACATATCAGAGATTCATTTTTATGCAAAACTGATGTATAATGAGCTAAAGGTTCAAAGGACCAGAATAGGAATGTCAGTTTTGTCAAAGAAATAGAATAATATGCAAAAGGAACAATACCAAACACATTAAGTCATGATAACAGAGACATAAATCCTGAGTATACATACAAGGATCTAAAAGCATATTAACAGAATAGGGGTGTTTGGTGTTCCTGGTCATGGAACATGGGAGATTTAGGCGGTCAATGTCACCCTAAAATCAAACCAAGAGAACGGGGAAGATTTCAACATATGTGATTTAAGTGGTCCAAATTAAGAGTAACAAAAAATAGTAACAATAACCAAAATGTCCAAAAACACCAAAATGATCATTGGAACCACAAAAATAAATCGAACTTTTGTTATTACTGCTTCATATTAGTATAAGTTTTTTTGTTCCTTTTTAACCGGTTGAAATGACCAAAAAGAACAAAAATTGGCAAATTGACTAAAGAAAGTCAAAATTGTTATTTTTTTCCCCAAAAAATTATAAATTAATGATATAAGACTTTGATATCATTATAAAGTTCTTTTTTTTTAATTCATCTAAATGACAAAAATATGGCCAAATTTACCAAAAAGTCTAAAACAGTCATTGTTTGTATTTTTACTTAACCAGTGACCATTTTATGTAAATTCATATAACCATGGAAAAGATATTCGCAAATGTAACTGTAGTATCCATGTGACAGCCACTTCAATCAATTGGAAGGCTCATAAAATTCTTATTTTACAAACCATCTTAAGGAAATTGGTTAAAAATATATTGATGGCAGAACTAAGTGAAAAATAGGGCAGAATTCAGCGACCAACCTTATAGAAACATCATCAATCAGAGACATTTTCACCCATTCACCATCAAGAGTGGCATTACATTGGGATTTCCAGACATAGTCAAATATCTATCAAAATTTACTGGAAAAAAAAAAGTTAATAACAATTTACCTTAAAGTTGGAGGCTACAACCACAACCCGCCTAAGCCTCTTCATGATGTCCCCAAGAAGTTATACCCTGTGAAATATTCATTTGGTTTATTAGAAAGTACAATCAAGTATTTGGTCAAGATAAATGGAGTGGTAGTACATTCTGCTCAATTTCACAACATATAAACAATATTCAAAAGGGTCACAAGGGTGTAGTAGTCATTTTCACAATCGGCAAGACATATCAGAGATGAGGTATTAGCATATGTTCTAAACCCAGAAAGACATATCACACACTATACACATAAGAAGCTTTTACCAAATACACTATCCTTGATTAACAAAGTTACAATACATTACTCAGATGCTATCTTCTGTCAAAAAAGTTACAAGATTCTTTAAATAAAAATATTTTTCATCCTAAATCTTAAAACCTAATGCTTGAATTCAACCAACTAAAAGGATCAATGATTTCGCGTACAAATCAATGAAGATCCGACATAGATTTAAGCATATTGAATACACATAAAGGTATGTTCCCTGCGACAATCGAATGATTTAAACTTCAAATTGATGAATGATTACACATTCATCAGGTCTCTTTTCACTAAAATCAGATCAGGGAAAGTGAAACATACCCGGAGGGAAATCAACTTGGCTCATTGTGACCCATCATCTTAAAATTCGAGCTTCGATCATATGTATTACTCAATGTTCCTCCATGAAAATCAGAGAGATATAAAGAAAAAACATGTAGGTGGAATGTCGACGAAAGTAAGAATCTCATTTTCGGGTTTTGGGTTAAGAAAGGATCGATTATACGAGACGATGGTGACCAATTTAGGGTTTTCATGCGGTGGTGGGTGATGGTTGAAAGGTAGATAGTGAAGACGACAACAAAGGGGTAAAGTTGGATGATGGAGAGGGTGGTTACGGTCAAGGGGAATGGTGCAAAGGAGCTCTAGGATGTAAAAATTTCATTTCTAGCTCTTACCTTTGCCCAGATTTTTGAGAGAGAATGATGAGGGGATGGAGAAAGAAGAGTAGGCTCATAAATTTGAAGTGGGTGCTAGTGTTTTAGACTGATTTTTGTCCATTTTTATCAAATCGGAGCAACCCTGATGTGTTTATCGCTTATCCTTGTGGTGGGGGTTCGATGATGGAGACGTATACGGAGGAGGGCAGAGGATGGTGGTGGTCGTGGTGCCGGAATTGGCCGGATGTGGTAACTGGTTAAATTGGATGAAGATGCTATATAAAGTATATATGTTGACCGATTCCCTTGGCGTGAGAAATACTCGTTCAACTTTGAGCTTTAGTTGGGAGTTGAAAATAAAAAGCTATAATTAAGGACTTCAATTTTGAATCTGCGTATTACTTTCAGTTTGAGGTTTTTGAATATTGACCGGATAAATTTATTTATTTTATAATGCATAAACTTGTTGTAAATGATACTTTATGGGTTGTACCTCTTAAAATTCAGCAAAACATGCTAAATGCTTATTAAGGTATAAAGATATATCTTTACTATATTATTAACCATATTGCCTCTTTCTTGAAAATTAAGAGGTACAATATGTATTACCTCGTTTACAATAATATTAAGCATATAACCAATCATATACGTATGACACTACACGGTATTACCTTACCCTAATCTCCTAAACACACAACAGCCGCCATCAAACCAATTCTCATCCGTCTCCACCAAAGATGCAGTCCACCTTTTCCGTCACACACAAGTAGCCCTAACCCTAGAAAACTTAGATCAACCACGATCAACCAAGATTATCGGGGAAGTTAAGGAAGATCATCAAGAAAGAAAAGAGAAAATCCCAGATCAGAAAAACTAGAATCGAGATCAGTGATTTCCTTGGTGGGTCAGATGGGTTTGAACTGTTTTCAAGATTTTGCTACAACAATGGCGAAATCAATATCTCAGTATCTAACGTCTCCCACGGAAGGTCCACAGTTGCCGACCTCCCCCACCGAAGACGTCCCATCATCCAAAAATGAAGTTAAGTAAAGAGTTTTACGTTGCGGAAATGTCCTGGATTTGTTGTGGTTCAAACTAAAGAAGATCGAAAAATCCTTAAGAGCTCAGGGCCTGAAAGGAAACTCCTACAGATTCCTCTTCGGAGACCTGAAAGAGATGGCACAGATGACACAACAAGCCAAATCTAAACCCATCGATTTCAAAGACGATATCATGCCTCGGGCTTTGCCCTTCGTCCATAAATCCGTTGCTGCTTATGGTACGTTTGAATGTCTCAGCGCCTAGGGGTTTACTTCTCCTCTCTCTCTCTCTCTCTCTCTCTCTCTCTCTCTCTCTCTCTCGATCGCCATCAGAAGGAAATGGAAACCCTCTTCTTTCCGTCTCCTTCCTAATCAACTTGACAGGCGTTTCTACTCATGCCTTTCTATTGATCCCATCCATTTCGGGGAGCCGGATTGAGAGGGCTCTGCCAAAACCCTAATTTCAAATTAACAGCGATGGCTAAGCGCGAATTGTCAAGCACATTGAAGAACTTGAAGGTAATTATAAGTTGATTCTTGATTTTTTCAGATACTTTTCAGTCTTTACTATGCATAACCTTGTTCTCAATCCCCGAATTTTGAGTTAAGGCTCAATTACGTTGTTCGTTTTTAAAAATTTTAAAAATACTTTTTTTTTATTTCTCTGTGAAATTTGAGGTGTTGTTCTTACTTATCCGTATGATAGTTCATGCAAAGGGGAGCTAATAAAGAGGAGAAAACCAAAAAGGAAGAAGAAGTCACTCCTAATGGAAATTTCCCATCCTTTATTACTACCAAAAAATGGTATAACTCTTTGTTATAATTCTTTGGTTCTTTGACTTGTTTGACTCTACATACCAAAAGAAACCACGCTTTGCTTTCAGGATCCATGAGCCATATTTCACCAACTTATGCTAATATTTTAAGTTATTTGCACAAAAGAAAAAATCTACCAGTATTGAACATCATAACATGCTCTTGGTGTTTTGCTTTATATTTTTCACACTTCTCATATTTGCACAAAAGAAAAAATATACCTGTATTGAAAAAATCTACCTATATTTTTCATATTTTGATATTCTTTTATATTTTTCAAAAGAAAAAAAAACCATAACCAGTTACCCTAACTTAACTATATGTGTGTATATGTTTACAGGTATTGAAATGAGAACCATTGAATTACCTATGTTCAAACCATCATGGGTCATGTTGATTATGGAAAGGTAATAAGTAATAGTTAGTGGATTAAATTGTTTATAAAAGGCTATTTCTTGCTAATATCATCCTTAAATATATGTATATATGACTAAAATGAAACGTTTTTCAATTTTCTCTATCACAACATCATACATTGGTCATTTTATTAAATTATAACTTTTTTCATTTTTGTCTATTTACCCTACTTTCAGTTCCTTTATGGGAGGTTGAACAGTTGTAAAGTGTTGTTGGGGCTTTAACAGGAAGGATATGCTGTCAAAAGTTTAATAAGGAGAAAGGGTAATTTCATCTTATTATTTTTAGGTACAGTATTGGGATTTTACCATTGGATTGCAATATATTAAGAAGAGATGGAGTGTGGGAAAAGGGCATTATGGTCTATTTTGATAATATGTAAGAAAAAGATTATATGCATTTTGGTTGCAGTTAGAGTAGAATCCATGAGAAAGAAGAAAAAAGTCATGAATTCCTGAAACGACCTTGCAAGTGTAGAAGGGGTTTTATATGGACATTTTGATAGGTGAGGCCTCTGTCACTGTATATTAATCAAGAAGCATGCAAGCTCTTACTTTTGTTCATATTTTAATGATTTTATGAATGTGGCAGTTCGCTGTGTCATTTGAACTTCAGTGGCTTATAATGATCCTAAGCCACTGTGGAAATAAGGTGTTTGAAGCTATTATATTTCTATCCTTTTGATATGTGTTTAGGGGTTTTCTATAAGTACCCCCCCTTCCTTTTCCAATTCCACTCCCCTTGATTTGATTTTTTGTCTTTTGTTGTTTTTTTTTTTTTTTGTTTTTTTCCTATTTGTTTTTTTGTTGTTTTATTATTATTATTATTATTATTATTATTATTATTATTATTATTATTATTATATTTTGATTATTATTATTATTATTATTATTATTATTATTATAAATTTCGCACAAAATTTTAACATTCGGACGGCATTATAAATTCAAACGGCTATATAAAATCGGTTTTTAAATATTTTTTTATATTTTTTAATTACGGACAAAAAGTCGTTCGAATTTTGTAATGTCGTGCGAATTTATAATGTTTACCGAATTTTAAAATGTTATCCAAAATTTAAAATGTTGTCCAAATTTTTTTTGATTATTGAAATTTATAATAATAATAATAATAATAATAAAATATAAAATAAAAGGAAAAAAAATCAAAAACAAAAAGGAAAAAGAAAAGAAAAAGAAAAAAATAATGTCAAATCAAAAGTAAAAAGTTGATTTGATTGATGTTAGGGGGGTAAAATTGGTTAAGGGAGGTACTTATAGCACAACCCTTTGTCTATTTCATATTTTTACCAGGAGCATATGTCGAGTTGTCCAAAAGAACCACAACGTGATGTCATTATGGAAATTTTTTTGCTGCTGGATTAGACCTATATGATGTTATAGCCATTGCTGGAAACTAGAAAGTATGCGCATAAACTTGGCTAAAAGTATAATTACAACTTTTGTACATTCTTTTTTGTGATATAAATCGGTGTTTATAGTTAATTGGTGGAATTACAATTACAACTTTCATGTGTGTGTGTTGTGTGTGAGTATGTGTTGGACCAAAATACCCAGTTAATATTTCTTTGGGTTAATTCAAGGAAAAACAACTTAATTTCTTTTTTATTATATCATCCTACTTTTATTTTTTTCATGTTAAAATTTTATACTTAATAAAACAGTGTTGTAATAGAAAGAAAAGAAGTAGGATGCTATAATACAGTAAAAAATGAAAGTGTGTTGCTTTAATTGGAAGTATGACAGTTTAATACAAAGCCCTAATAAGAAAGAGAATTGGAAGTACGATAGTGTAATAAATAAGAAACGAAAGTAAATATCATCAAATTGTTTACAAGCTTGATAAACCAATCTCTAGGATTGAGGTGAAAGTTTGGGTTCTCAAAGTTAAATTTTTCATTTTAACCATATCGTTACGATTGACTTTCACTGTTTTCTAACACTAACCAATCCTGTTTCTATACTTTTTTTTTCTAAATTTTTGAAGCCTTGAAATTGTAAGAATTCATATCAATGATAATGCATGTACGGTCTAAATTCTTAATATATATAACTCTCTTTTTGCATATACAGATTCATGAAAATTAAGCAATGAAGCAATTTGAAAAAACATTGAACCATTACTATTAGAAAAACATTATAAGCGAATTGTAATTTTAAATAATGAGTGTTTATAATCCAGTTTAATCATTTTTTTAAAGATAGATGCAAATAGAATTGTAACATTTACATTTACTCCTCGAATTTGATGGGATTGGACCTAATTAAATGATCCTTAAAGTGGTCAAAGACGTGAATTTAGCTTTGTCGAAAATGGGATTTGGGCTATTCATATTTAACATTAGTCATATTTCTATTTTTTACTAAATTTATTAAACATCAAATATAAAGATACGTATTACTTTAACAAAATAGTCACAACATAACATCATCACTTTCGAGAAATAAAAAACGATAGTTTCTTAAAAATGAAGGCGAATACAACAATCAATTTTATCTAAATGCAATTTGAAGTAAGTTCTTTTTTTTTTAACTATGTAATATTGACCATCATGATAAAAAATTGTGTATCAAAGTAATCTAATTAATAATTTTTGTTTTTAGTAACAAGTAACTTACAAATTTGGTGCTAAAGTTATTATTGTTTATCATATTAGTCCAAGCTTAAAAAATATACGATTTTAAAAATAAAAAAGAAAGCAGTTAAATATAATTAACAACTTTGCAAAATGAACCTACAATGACTTCTAGACAAAATCAATTTATTTCTACAAACTGTGATTTTCAGCAAGCAAGTAAGAAAATGTGTAATTTCAATATTGTTTAATCTTCATGTTTAGTTAATAAAATATCTATTGTATTTTGGTTGAACTATGAAATTTCAAATCTATTGTATTTTCGTTAAACATTATATTTTTGTTGTCGGTCGTGAGACGTGGAACACGAGCACAGACTGTGGATTCTAGCATAGAAATGTCGCCTCTTTGGTATTCGATTATCAAGTTGTGGTGAACCATAAATATGAGTGCACTAACCGATCCATGATTCTTAGACTATCTATTACGTGTCGGTGATGGAGTTGAATAAACGATGCACGGAAACTTTATTGACATCTCTATGATATGGTAATTCCCTTCCTAAAATAGGAGAGTCATTGAATGCCTTGATTGATACAATATTTCCATCATTGGAAATTAATAGACCCGAATTAGATTATATTATTTAACGGGCAATATTATCCATAAGAAATGATAGTGTCGACAAGATCAGTAATTATTTGATCGGTTGATTCCATGAAGAAGAGAGAATTTACTATAGTTTTGATGAAGACATACACGATATAAACTACTTATACATTGTGGAATACTTGAACACACTCTCTTTACCACCTCATTATTTACATTCTAACAAAATAAGTAAATAAAAATAAAAAACTATCATATTTATTAATTTTATTAGGATATAGAGTGTTGCTTGACCTCACTCAACCGCTTAGACCGATTATGGGACTCCTTCTTGGCGCCGATTTATCAATTACCCTTCTGTTGTGACAAAATAACACAAATCATAATTATACTGTAAAAATGAAGATTTAATCATGTTTAAATAAAATAGTACATTTATATTAAAAAAAACAAACAATGTACATTTATTTTTAATAGAAACCAATTAATGTGAGGTCGTTTGGTTTCTTCTAATCCCGTTAAAAGAGGAGTAATAATACATTCACTTACTTTTATCGCATATTAGTGGCTTTACATATTTTGAAGATTTTTATACGGTCAACAACATAAAACACCAAATTATTTCTACAAAAGAACTAATCGTCACTAAAAAACTAATTTATGACTAAAATATTCACATCTGGTGCTTGGCGCGGGTAACGACTAGTATATATATATATATATATATATATATATATATATATATATATATATATATATATATATATATATATATATATATATATACCATTTCCTGCTAGAAAGTTTAACTTGGTTTGGTCAATGAAGAGTGGAGAGCATATGTCTGACAAACGAAAGGTTATGTTGACTTTAACCCATAAATTTGGATTTCCATGTATTTTTTTGTTTTTTGAATCTCTTAATACGGCAATCTTACAGTTTGTTAGTGAGTTTAGTGACATGGTGCCATTGGGACCTTTTTCCTACTAAAGTATTCCTAAGACCAGAGGAAAAAAATGTGTTTGGACTCCCTTTAACTTCTGGTAAAGACATATACAATTTCCAATTCATGTTTATTGAATACAAATTAAAAACTCTTTCTGTATTTTTGACTTTTGTCAGGAATAGCGAGTGAATGGTTTCTTAGGTCTACAGGAACATGGTTTCAGCTTTATTTTGGTGGGTATTTAGGGGAAGAAAGGTTTCGGAAATCAGCAATCCATTATACCGCATGTTTGGGATTTCTTTCAAGGTATTTGTTTTGATTCATGTGTGTATGTATCTTGACAAAAACCAAACGAGAAATCATATTACCTTCATTCTGTTTGCAACAAATTATATTATGATAAACTGGAGTATTGTTCACCATTCTGTGATTATTTTTTTTAAATACTCTACTTCCAATTGATTTTTAGGCTCCCATAACTCAGGTATTGTTCACCATTCTGTGATTGTTCACCATTCTGGAGTATTGATCACATATTGTTCACTATTTGAGAGTTCTTTTTCTCAGCATACCCTGCAATATGTGATATTTCTTCTTTTTTTATTCTCAATACTGAAAGTTCACTGCTATAATTGATATAAATCAACTTTTTTTTTCTTCAAAAAAAGACATCTGAACATGTAATACTGGAAAAATGGGAAAAAATAGAAATCGGGATGTTATCGAAATACCCCGAATTAAACTACATTGCTATAATTTACGAGAATATTCCACTTATTGGCCTTTTGACAAAATATTAAAGACTGTACTGTATTTGGATTATATTGCAAACTACAATGTTGTAACAGAAAGAAATATAAGTAGGATGCTAAAATAAGCAAATAAATGACGCTTTCCTGATCTTTATTGCATATTACTCTAAACCAAAAAAGTATCTCTATTACAGGGTAACAAAGTTGTATATTGGGTTGGTTGCAATAACTGCATTTCGTATATACAGTCGAACAAAAAACAAAACCCTTCTGACCCATACGAAGCATGGGCATCTTCCCTAGTAACCAAGAAAATAATGATTGGATAATTGGTTTATATAAATCATTCCTAGTTGAGACCACACATATAAATCATTCCTAGTTGAGACCACATGTAAAACTAAGATTTCTAAAAATAACAAGTGATAATTCTATTTATTAAAAAAAGGTGTCCCTTTTGAACTAAATATGGATTTTATTTGATACCTAACGTAATGCATAAAAGTATTTCTGAACAACCATGTCAAAGACTCGTATAAAAAAATTAAAAAACAAATTAAAAATTTGAAATGAACGGTGTAAAGAAAGAAAAAAAACTTGGCATGTAATTTTTCTTTTTTTGCATGGGAGACACACATCGTGTATGCGTGTTTCTTTTTTGTGACACAACGACCGTCACAAGATCGACATCCTCTATGGTGCAAGTGTCACATAAAATAATAAAATATGCAATGTCACCTTTTTAACCGTGGAGGGTAAAAAAAAAAAACTCTCTCTTTTGCTTCTGCCTTCACTTCAAGTATTCAAAGATGCCTTAAAGACTGTGAACCACCGAGCTTCATTCACTCAGCCACCTCCGCTGTCACTACCTCTGAAAAACGTACCCTGCAGCTAGCGTTTCCTGTAATCCCCATCCTCGGCTTCTCTTCGCTACCATGGTTTAATAGCATTCTTCCATGGAGGAGAAAGAGTTGATGGATTACATAAGGGAAGTAGAAGATGGTGATATGAGCACCTATTGCACACAATAGTAACGAGAGGTTGATGTTAGCTAGAGAGAGGGAGGCAAGACGGTCTATGAATTCCATGGAGATTTGATAGGCTGGATGCAATATTGGGCAGTGGTTGTGGGAGCTTCAAGGGATTACTGTTGACGACTTACGGTATCTACATTTTAAACTAGCTTCCAACATAAATGAATATTCTTTGTTTTTTAATTCTTAGACACGGTATTTTACAAGCATTTAGTAAATAAATATGAAAGTTCATCATTTAGTCAATATTTTTTAAAACTACTATACGTCTATACACAGGTAGAAAACTCCTTATATTTTACTTGGAGTTGTTTGAAACAGAACCCACCGTTTATGTGGGTGTTTGCGCGTTTTGAATAGTAGACGGTAACTAGGGGACAATTAGGTTTCTGGGTTGTTAAGATTGGCAATGGTGATAAACAACCAGTTAATCGACAGGTAAGAAATGGAGAAAAAATAGCTTCTCTAATTTTTCTTGAAGCGACAACCAAGCAATCGTACATTGTGAACCAAAAAACCTGCATATCCCAACATCACCCTTCTGTTGAAACCGTCCCCCCAATTTTGATATAAAACTAAAGTCAAAACAAAGTCTTTGTGTGTTGTGGTCACCGGAGATACTTAGGGTTGAAGATGGAAGGTATCGGAGCTATGATCTATGAAAATGAAAGGGGACGTGAAGGGTGTTGATCGATGTGTAAAGAGATGTGAAGAGGAAGAAGTGGACATGGCCAAGAAGACAAAGGAAGGGAAGGGGTAATTTGGTAAATGAACTGTGGACTTTATTTGTTTTCAGTTTTTATAATAAAAAGAGTTGGGTCCTTCAAAAAATACCATGTTTTGGTAATTAGATTTGAAAGTAATATTGTTTGGTAAATAAAATTTGTAATAACTATGTGCTCGTTAAAAACTCTTGCCATACCTTGGTCCCAACTTTAATTTTAGATAGAAAAGTCATTTTATATGTATGGTCCCTACACAATCTTCCAGGCATTTTTGACAAATGACAATTTCATAACCGTAGAAAGGGATTATGTTTCCTATATTTTTGGATGTAAGGAATCTTAGAGGATCATTTATTTGTTGTCATCTTTATTTGAAATTTTAGAATTAATTCATAAAGTAACTAAATAAATGTTATTATTATTTGTTTTCTTTTTCTGAAACAGCAATGATATTATAAAGGGAACACCTCAATAGCAAGTAGCTAATAGAGGCCCCAAACCAAGTACATGAAAATAAAGAGAAGTAAATGAATTACAATTACATCAAATAAAAGGTGAGACAATCCAATCTTCCCAACTACAGAATTCACCTTTGCTCCTATTTTTATCCAGATAAAAACCGTGGACTTAATGTTCTCGACAACTTTACGCGGGTTAGAAAATCTCGCCTGAAACAACCGTTCGTTTCTGTTTGTCCAAAGCATCCAAATCAGACCATAACAGATAGCAATGAATCGCATTCGTTTTTTTGGATTGTTTCCCCATTTAGCCGCAAAGTCCACAATATCCACCACTTCGTTTACTTCAATCGAATTAATCCCACACCACCTAAAAATTATTTCTCGCACCATTACCGCAAATGGGCAGCTAATAATAATGTGGTTGGCACATTCAGGCCCGTCAATCCATGAACCACATAGAGTCGAGTCAAGATTAAGACCTCTGTGAGATAGTGTCATCGCAGAAGGAATCCGTCCTTGCATGGCTCTCCACACAAGGCAAGTTACCTTCATGGGGACAAGCTTACTCCATTTGATCATAACCTGTTGATTGTTGATGGGTAGCGTTTGATCAATCTTTTGCCTTAGCATGTGCACCATATAGTTTCCATCAGGGCATAGTTTGCATTTAATCTCATCTGGACCAGGTAGTAGCCGAATAGTCGTGATGGCATTTTTCAAATTCTCCAACTTGATAGTTAAGCCCACATTTGTTGGACAAGAACTCCAATTCCACTTGATTCCATCTGCAAGTATACAAATACTTACCTTACACCGTTTCTTAGTTTCAAGAGCATAAAGTGAAGGGAATGCAGTCTTTAATTTACAGGTTCCAATCCAAAAATCATGCCAGAATTGGGTATTATCCCCAGACTTGATCACCTGTTGAAATATATCATCAAAACTAAGACCCAACCTTTCAATGTCCTTCTTAGTCCCCGATATGTTGTTCCATACACCGAATATTTGTTTTCTTAACAATTGCTCAACCGGTTTATTAGATAAAATTATGAATTCATGAAATAACCTTGCACCATAAGGATGAAGATTCGTTTCTTAATCGCCACCACCATTTCACCATAAGAGCTATGCTAAGTGCTTTAATGGACCCAACTCCTAGACCACCATTCTCTTTAGATGCTATAACTTTCTCCCATGACACCCAATGTATCTTTTTCTTTTCTTCGTTTCCACCCCACAAGAATTTTCTTCTCAGCTTTTCTAGAGTCTCAATAACCCCAACAGGTACTTTAAAAAGTGATAGATAGTATGTTGGGAGATTCCCCAACACAGCTTTGATGAGTGTTAAATGCCCTCCGAATGAGAGTGTTTTTGCTTTCCATTTGGAAAGCTTTGCTCGAAATTTCTGAATTATTGGGGACCAGTATTTTTTGAGATTCAAGTTTGCACCAACTAGCACACCAAGGTAGGTGGATGGAAAGGATCCAGCTTCACACCCCAGGAGACCGACCCATTGTGTGATTTCAGAAGTGGGAGCCCCAATGCCATAAACTTTGGATTTATTAAAGTTTACCTTAAGGCCATAAACTTTGGATTTATTAAAGTTTACCTTAAGGCCAGACGAATCTTGAAAACATTTGAGTATACTTGCAAGGTTTTTGAGGTTGGAATGGCACCATTCTCCAACGAATAAAGCGTCATCCGCGTAAAATAAATGAGAAATAAATGGACCATTACCGGGAGTTTTCACGGCTTTGAATAAGTTTTTGTCCCTTGCAGTCTTTAACGCCACATTGAGTCCCTCCATTGCAATAATGAACAAAAAAGGCGATAATGGGTCGCCTTGCCTAACACCTTTAGTGATCTTGAATTCTTTGGTTGGGGTACCATTTATCAATACAGAAGCAGGAGCTGATGAAAAACATCCAGAAATCCAGGATCTCCATTTGTTCCCAAAACCCATTTGGGCTAGAACTGAATCTAAGTACTCCCAGTTAATCGAGTCAAAGGCTTTCTCAAAATCGACCTTGAATAAAATGACTTTTTTCTTAATACTTTTTGCCCAAGAACATATTTCATTAATTATTAGAGGACCATCCAAAATATTCCTTCCTTTGACATACACAGACTGTACTTCACCGATGACACTTCCAATTATCTTCTTTATTCTCGTTGCTAGAACCTTGGTTATTATCTTGTAGAAACATCCTATCAGACTGATAGGGTGATAGTCTGATAGAATAGTAGGGTCTTTTATTTTTGGAGCAATTGTTATGAATGAAGAGTTACAACATGAGGCAAGTGAGCCTAGATCTTCAAAGTGACGCATGGCTTTCATCACATCATCACACATCAGGTTCCAGTAGCTTTTTATGAACTTAAACGTTAGCCCGTCTGGTCCTGGTGCTTTGTCACCACAACAGACCCAAACGGCCGCCTTGACTTCAGATACGGAGAATGTAGCTTCAAGACGTATGGCGTCCATCATCGATAGAGACTTGAAGTTTGTGTTAATAAATTTAGGCCTTGACTTCCATCTCTCCTTGAAATTCAACTGAAATAATTTGTAAGTTTCGTTTTTGATCTCACTTACTTCAGTTGACCATCTACCAATGATATTTAGACCAATGATTTGGTTCTTCCGTTTGTTGCTGTTAACATGACCATGGAAGAAGGTTGTGTTTTCGTCTCCATCAACCACCCATTTCAATCGGGCTTTTTGTTTAAGATTTAATGCTGTCATACGTTCGAGTTCCATAATCCTTTTGAGACCATTGCATCGGATCAATAGTTCGTTTTCTGACAGGGTACGCATTTCAGCTACATTTTCCAAGTCTTTGATCTTTACTTTTAAATTTGTGAGTTCAAGGGCTTCTTTTTTATGTTCACTCATACACCATTTCTTAATCTCTTCTTTTACATGTTTAAGTTTTGCAGCCATATCCGCTGAAACCAATCCATGCATTACTTACAATCTGGTCAATTCCATCAACCGTGAGCCAAGAATTGAAAAACTTGAATGATGGAGACCAATCATCTATGAATTCAACTACACCAATCTTGTAGGTCTTACCATCCGCCACGACATTGACTTCTGTGTTGATCCATTTCCGTTCCGACATAAGAACGCCAACCTTTCCCATTGAATAGTCTCGTCTTGTAAACAGTTTATTGAACAGAGTTACAATTCTGCCAAAACGTCCGGCGATGACGTTGAAGTTCTCTTCATCCCACAAATGCAGAGGAAGCCCTAAAATTTTAAGCCATGCAGTCCTTTCGTAAGGGATTTCATGTTGATCCGCTCTAACAAATTGTTTAAACCAATCTCTCCATCTAGTATTATCATTGAGAAACTCTGAAGCTTCAGGAGAACTATCAAAGTGAAGGGCTATACTGAGACCTCCAATATACTTAGTGCCTTCGTTCATTAGTAGTGATACCGGTAGGTTCCCCGTATGATCGAAGCTATGAGTTTCACCAATCAACACTGACTTCTTTAACCAATCTTTCATAACTGTTGTTGAGTTTATAGTTATTGGCATCATTTGAACACTATTACCTCTTCCAGAGGCGACTTGCGCGAAAGATCTACCGTCCCTAGTACCCGACTGCGGTGGGGGTGGAGCCCTTCTGACGATATTGCGATTTGGACGTGTCTGTTGCAGAATTGGCGACTTCCTTGGATGCCGGGATAGGTTGATAACGAGAGGTCTCTCCTTCAACATAGTTCCTTGGAGTTTGATTTCCATTTCTTTCTCGTCTTTCACACCTTTGAATCTTACAAAGGCAAAGTTCATTTTCTTGCTATCTCTTTTACCCCCCATATAGACATTTGCTACCTGACCATAATCTGAGAATAGTGACCAGAGCTCCGACTTGTTTGTTCCCCCATGAAATCCTTCTACGTAGATGTTGGTTAAGTGGCATACCTGGCCGTCTTTGATGTTTCTTTTCTCCGGCGAACTTCCTTCCATTATCCAGCCATAGTTTATTATTATTTGTTATTTATATTTTCTTGGTACTAGTTGTTATTCGTTAGTTTTAATTGTTAAATGATTATGGTAGTTTACTAGTTTGTTATAGGTTGCTAGTTAAAATTTTTATTTAATTGGAAAAGCTAATCAGATATTTATTGGAGTTTATCTGATTTAATTTTCAAATAGTTGGGATTTTTGTTTCATATATATATATATATATATATATATATATATATATATATATATATACATCTAACTTTTTTTTTCACTCAGATATACTAGATCTCACATTGAAAGTGTAATCAATGGGTTCTTGGTGGAATGGGTTCTTTGTGGTACTTCAAATGCTCAACATTGTTCCCTGCTTCTTTTGTAAAGGTTAGTCTACTTATTACTCATATTGGCAACACACTCTACAATTTCCATAATATGATAAGCTCTAAGATCTCTATAACAATGAATCTATAATCGAGGAAAGAACAACTTTCAAATGTTAACTAAGAAAAATATTACCCAGGGGTTTCGAATTAAACTTCCGAGAGGATCGATATCTCCAATGGAGTCTATGACCACAAAGATCTTAATTAGCTATAAAAGTATAAATACCCAACAGATAGAGCCTACTTAGGAATGCCAACTCACTATACCAAGCAATTGTTGTTCCCATGTAACACTCAAAAATAAAAAACGGGAATATGTGCACGATCACATCTTCGCTTTCCCACAATCCTTAGAAGTACCTGAATTAATAAATAAAAACAGTAACCCAAAGCTTAGTGAGTTCCCCCCAAAGTACCAACACACTACAAAACAAACAAAGCATGCAAATCGGAGCCTTCAGCATGACTGGATCGCCTCATAGGGCCTACAACCTATCTAGACCGCTCTACGAGCCTTCGGCATGAATGGACCGCCTCGCAGGGCCTACAGCCTATCCGGATCGCTCTACAGGTTGTCGACCTGACTGTAGCCTATCCGGTCGTCCCCGGGTGTCTTGGACTTCAACACAAAGTAGAATCGCCTCAACCCAAGCATAATATGTCGACATATGTAACAGACAAACAAAAACACAGAATCTGTAATTACAAATAATCATACAGATCTACTAATCAGTCATATACCAGCATAACACTATCTTATAACCAGGATACATAATCTAGTGGGTCGACATTCATGCCTTTGATCCACGGGTACAGTGAGGAAAACTCACTTCTCAGTCTGATCGCAAGCGGAACAAATCTCCACTCCGAAAACCGACTCTACCCGACACCTATTATGCAAAATATTGCCTAACAAAAATTAATATCAATTTCCTAAAATACCGTTGGTCAAAATGAACGAAACCAGTCGAGTCGACCCAGAACTTCGTACGCGGGCATACTAGGATGTACGTGGGGCGTACACCGACGTCCGAGGAGTCGGGGGCTTAGCTTGCTTACGCACAACGTACCAATTGGTATGCCCACCGTACGCAGCTGGACCTTCACTTAATGAATTAAGTTCTTAACACTTAAGCTAATACGACCAAAATGCATATCGAAGTCCCAAATATCATCATTGACCATTAAGTTTCCAACTTTATGCTCTTACATGGCCAGTAAGTGCAATTCCAGTCCCCTTAGTTCAATTAATATCTTTTGATCACAAAATTAATTTCTTAATTAATTCTTGACCAATATTAATTAACTAATATGATTTCTCTTTTAATATATTATTCATATAATATATTAATAAACCATAATAACCTCTTTCTCCATTAATCATCTGGTCAAGTTGCTCTGGTGAAGGCAACCCAAAAGGACCATGCTATAACCGGGTCAAGTACATACGAAATATAGTTATGGACTTAGACACTAATCCAACATTTGGTGCTCGGACTTGACAATCAGACAAGTCAAGTACCTCTCAACATACCATGCTATCTCCATTTTCATGCATGAACACCAGTAGCTAAGTCTCAAATCCCGGTACATCTTGGTGGTTTTGGGGTGTATCGAAAACCTGGACTTGTGTGCCTCCTCCAGCACAGTCTGTCTGACCCCTCCAAAGTCTGGCACCCAGACCCGTCCATACCGGGTCAATAATCCATAACTATCAATAGCGAATATGCCAATCTTGCCCTTGAGTCTCTCCTTCTTCTGATTTTCCTCCTTGACTCCTTCGGCCTGAACCTCTCTGATCAAATCCAACAATGACGTATCAATCGAAATCCTCATACATCGACCTCCAGTCGCGGAGCTAGCCGCCTTGCGGCTCAAAGAATCAGCCACCACATTGTCTTTCCCGGGATGATACAAGATCTCATAGTCATAATCCTTGACCACATCAAGCCACTTCCGTTGTCTCATGTTCAGATTCAGCTTATCCATAGGTATCACAAACTCTTGTGATCCGTGTAGATAGTACACCGGGCCCCATATAAGTAGTGCCACCAAATTGTGAGAACAAACACCACTGCCCTCAACTTCAGATCATGAGTCGGATAACGGATCGTATACGGCTTCAGCTGTTGTGAACCATAAGCAATAACTCTCCCACGTTGCATAAGCACTGTGCTAAAACCCGAGATGGATATGCCACAAAATACCACAAAATCCTCAACACCCTCGAGGAGGGTCAACACTTGGGCCTCACACAATTTCTGCCTCATAGTCTCAAATGCCACATGCTGCTTAGGACCCCATCGAAAATCCACGCCCTTCCTCGTCAAATGAGTGAGGGGTACTGCAATCTTGGAGAAATCCTTAATAAATCTCTGATAGTATCCTGCTAAACCCAAGAAACTCCTGGTCTCCAAGGGAGACTTCAGAACTCCCACTGCATCACGACCTCAATCTTGGTCGGATCGACCAAAATCCTGATTTGGTTGACGAGATGTCCTAGGAACTGGACCTTTTGTAATCAAAACTCACACTTTAATAACTTGGCATACAATTGTTCTCACCTCAACACTCCCAAAAGCTCTGGAAGGTGCTCCTCATGCTGCTCCCTGGTCTTGGAATACACCAAGATATTATCAATAAAAACAATGATTGATCGATCGAGCATCGACCTGCATACCCTATTCATCAAATCCATAAAGTCCGCAGGTGCATTGGTGAGCCCGAATGGCATCACCACGAACTCGTAGCGACCATAATCAGTCTGGAACACAGTCTTCTCCACATCCTCCTCTCTGACCCTCATCTGATGATACCCTAATCTCAAGTCGATCTTGGAGAACCAGGACACACCCTACAACTAATCTAAGAGGTCACTAATTTGCAGAAGGGATAACGGTTCTTCACTGTCAGATTGTTTAACTCCCGGTATTCAATGAACATCCGGCGTGAAACATCCTTCTTCTTGACGAAAAAATCGTTGTTCCCACGGCGAACTGCTCGGTCTGATAAACAGCTTGCGCAGCAACTCCAGAAGCTGAGAGGACAACTCCTGCATCTCAGGTGACGCCAAGCGATACGACGCCTTAGCAATAGGGACCGCACCCGAAACTAAATCAATCATGAAATCAACCTTCCTCTCTAGAGGCACACCAGACAACTCCTCCGGAAACACATCAGCAAAATCCCTAACCACTGGCATCCCTAAAATCGAAATCTGCTTACATACTCAGGTGTCAACCACATAAGCAAGATAACCCATACACGCGTGCTAAATATACTGTCGAGCTCTGGCAGCAGAACTAAAGGATGACCCCAATCTGGTACCCTCTCAAAAAATAACCAGTTCTCCCCTACTTGGGGTTCAAATTATCACCTGCTGACCTTCGCAATCGATCATAGCCCTGAATCTACTTAGCCAGTCTATCCCTACAATCACACATACGTATCCCATGGGAATAGGGATCAGATCAATCGAGTAAGGCACCCTAAAAGTCTCCAAGACACAATCCCGGAAAACACTCGATGCAGAAATCCCAAGTTCATTGGTGATAGAAACCTGCAACAGACACTCCAACTCTCTAAGGGTCACATCGAAACCCCTACTAAAAGACTGAGATACAAAGGACCAACTCGCGCCCGAATCGAATAACATATGAGCAGGGAACAAAATTCACTAAGAAGGTACCTATCAGAAGCATAAACATAAGCATACCACAAAAATGATTGACAAAATGATAACTGGAAACATACTAGTAATGACATCAGGCGCCGCCCTGGCCTCCTCTACTATGAGATGAAAAGCGCGACCCCGAGCCCTCGGGAGCTCCGCCCTACCCTGATGCCCATCTGTGATCCTTAGTGTAGTTGGTGCTTGAGCCTACGCCGGTCCCGTAGTGAGCAAAGGACAGTTGGCCTTAATATGGCCAATCTGCTCACAATGATAACAGATCCCGGTGGTCGGTATAGGGACCTGTCGGCGGAAATCTTTGGCATAATGCCCCTCCTTGCCACATTTGTGCACCCAAAATAAGATCAACAAGAACCCACATGAACCTTGCTGCACTTGCCACAACTATAGCCCCTCTAACCCCTAGATCTCCCATCAGCAGCCTTGAACCGCTTTGTCGCAGTCTGCGTCTGCACTGGAGCATGCCTCCTTCCCCTAGCCTGGAGCTCCATCTCAATCTACCGCCTCCTCGCGGCCTCTTGAATCTCCATACGTGTACCATAACGTTGAGTGGACACAAAATGGCGGATGTCCGTCTTGAGCATGTTAAAGTACCGGGTCATCTGAGCTTGCTTGAAAGCAGCAAACTCAGGGAAAAACAGAGCTCTCTCAATAAACATCTTGGTGATCTCAGTCACCGACTCAGTCCCCTGTATCAGGTCCAAATACTCTTGGGTAAGCCTCTCCCTCTCCACCAAAGGAACATATCTCATTCGAATCAGTCACCAATTTCCACCGGTCCTTAGCTCTTGACCGAAGAAGGTTCAGTGCACACTTGACCTTCTGGTCAGCAGGACAGGAGCACGTAAAGAAACACCCCTCAACATAGGATAACCACCTCATCTCAATGATCGGATCTTGGACTAACTTGAACACTAGGGGCTTCG